ATAGAGGAGCAATTATTAACAACATACAAATTGTCTTTCAAAGTATTAGAAATACTAAGCTTAAATATTCCATCACATAACTAACCAAGTCCTACAAATAAACCACCTTTAGACAATATAAATTTATCCGATTCAAACACCATTTAAATCCTAAACAATTCAAGATAGCATCGGACACTAAATTCCTCCTAAGCTTGGGAGCATACAACACATGCCTTAAAATAAGAGATTTTCCCGAGCTAAACATTAACTCAACTTGCCCCTTGCCTAGCACTTTTGTGGTGGAGTCGTTCCCCATGTAAAGAATCTCTCCATTGGTCACCTTAACGAAGGATTTAAACAACGAACGATCCTTGCAAACATGCCTCGATGCACCCGAACCGATGTACCAAGAAGTATCACCCTGCACACATAAGATTTCAGAAATCACACACAAATAATTCATTAAAGAATTAAATGAAATTTGTGCACAAGAATTACCTTGCTTGTCTTGGGATTGGCTTGACCCGCCTTTCCCACCTTGAGCCTTTTTTTTGCTCATCTTTTTCTTCCAAAAGGTACAATCCTTTTTAAAATGACCGGGTTTTCCACAAACCCAACAAGCTCGTGATGTTTGACAATCACTTTCCACTTTAGGCCTTTTGCCTTTGTACTTGTTTGACTCATTTCCTTTCTTCTTCTCATTAGACTTAGCATCCTCCACCACATTCACCGTGGTAGAACTAGGATTAACATCCTTTTGTCCCTCTTACACTCGGATTTCCTCCTTAATTCGAATGTGAGAAGCCAAGCCCTCAAGATTAATATCATCTTGATCTTTCTTATGCTTTAATGCATTTCTGATATCTTTCCAAGATGATGGTAGTTTATCAATTATAGAAGAAACAATAAAGGTCTCATCAAGATTGATATTCTCCCTAAAATTCTTTGGATTTTATGAAGTTGTTCCATAACCGGCCTACTATCAATCATCTTGAAATTATTGAACTTACTAACAAGAAATTTCTTGCTAGATGCATCCTCGGCCATATACTTAGACTCTAATTCATCCCAAAGCAATTTAGCGGACTCGTGAAATTGATAAACATCAAATAATTCATTAGACATACCGTTAAGGATGTGACCACGGTATATGTAGTCATCATTCTCCCACTTATTCCTCTTTTTAGTAGCCTCCAATGTCTCATTTTCTTCCTCCGATGGCTTTGGGGATGTTAGAACATAAGCCACACTGAGTGATGTCAACAGAAAATGCATCTTCTTTTACCACCTTCGAAAATCTACACCCTTAAACTTGTCCAATTTCTGGAAACTTGTCATCATTTCCTTCACATTTGCCATCTTTGTAGTAAATTATACTTTTGGACTGTTGGGGATTTCTAGTAAACAAGGGTCACAAAAAATGGAAATGAAATTATTGGAAAAATCTTCGAGGCGTGAACTGGATCACTTTCCTAACAGTATAATTCCGACCTTATACTACAACCGGGTATCACGGAAATTACTTGGGATATACAACGAATAACAATTACAATAACTTGTAGGATTATTGCAATTCAATGTATAAAAGTGTTTGTAATTTTGTGAAAATGAACAACTGATAATAACTTCCTATGCCAAAGTGATAAGATAGAAATTATATTTCTTCTCTCAACCTACATTCATCATATGAGGAGTTTCTCATATATATATAAGATAGTAGCTAGTATGTAAACAATGTATTAAGTATCGAAACCGAAAACAACACATTCACTAAATAATGTATCAATTCATCAAATGTTAAGAGATGCATTAAACAACGCATTAAGAATGCATTAATACACTAAGTTATAAAGCATTAAGTATGTAACTGCCCAACTAAATCAAGAGAAATCAAAACCGAAACCGTAAGTAGCAACGGTTGCAACAATAGTGACGAATCAGCCACTTTCTTCCTTTCTCTTGATTAGTTGTATACTACTACCTTAATCATATGTTGTCTAAGTCATGACACCTTAACCAAATGACTTAAACTTAACATAACATGAATAATAATCAACTAAATACTCTAAATTCTCCAACAGATTTATCGGGGGATAAAAAGAAAATTATTGATGAATTGGGTTTTGGATGTTTGCTGAAGTTTAATTGCAAGAACTTGAGAAAAACGATGTGCAAATGGGTCATCGACCACTTTTACCCTCAATCTCAATTCTTAGAGATTGATGGGAAAACAAGAAAAATTAATCCAACACATGTGGAATACCTACTAGGGTTTAAGAATGATGGTTTTGACATCAAAGATGAAGAGCTTCAGAAAACTGAACCTTCTGAACCTTTCACCAAGGAATTTCTTAGCCTTTTACACCAGGACACAAGGAGCTTTGCAGCTGAACTCCGGAATATGAAACATGATGATACTGACTTCCAAAAGGTATTTACATTGTCCTTCATGACATCTTTTGCTGCTCCAACTGCAGACAAAAGGCCCAGAAACACTTGGCTTCACCTTGTTTTAAGGAATGAAATGATCGGAAGGTGGAATTGGGCAAAGTTCATACTCGACAGCACAGTTGCAGCAGTGAAAGAGTTCAAGGCTACCTCGGCTAAAGAATTGGGTGGTTGTCCCCTATTTTTTATGGTAACTCCGGCCTTTTCTCTTACACCTACCAAACTAGAATGTTGTTCTAAATTGTTTTCTGTCTAACTGAGATTTTGTGTGGTAAACGATTCTTCACATTCTTCTCCGGTAATGACATTAAAATTGTTCCATTGGCCATAAATTAATGTGTTTAATGCTTGTGTGTGCATCTGTTGATACATTGCAATGATCAAATCCCTGTTTGGTTTGTCTATACAGAATCAGTATAACTAAATTGCATCGATATAATCTTAAATTTGCAGGCCGTATTTTGTGAGTACTCTTCCAAATCTGGTCTAGACGATCTTTGGAAGTACAACCTTCCTAGGATTGATGACTGGAATGATAAAAACATCAAAAGACTACATGATATAGTTGTCTCCTATCACCTAGATTACAAGATCCCTGAAGTAAGTGCTTGATGATAGTTACAATACCATTGCATTGATTAATTTGTTGGTAATTGAAGTTAATGTTGTTTTTAAATCTCCTATTTTAAATGATTCATATAGTTGATGATGAAAATCGAAGCTAAAAAAGCATGGATCATACAAAAGGTCGAGTATATGGAGACACGTTTATCAGTTTTTGAAAACAAATTATACGCATTTGAAGAAAATACGAATAAGCTAAGATAAAGAGCAAGTATTGCTAGTATTATAATTTTTCAAAATTATGTCACATTTTATTTTGGTTCACTCTCAATCTCTTGCCCTCACTTACTCACACGTCCTCTTTCATCTCGTTCTCAGGAGATACACAAGATTTGAATGAAATGTGTGACAGGTAATTCATTTAAATTTGTTTAGATTTGTGTAAGATCCATTAATTTCGTTAATTTTTTTAAGGGTTCACTTTGTGATTTTTCATTGTTCTTTGAATATATAAATGAAGGCTGGTGTACTATTAAGTCGTGTAATATTATCATTTGCGAATGACTGATAGAGTTATCTTCTTTTAACGATTCATTTCTTAAGCTGTATTAGCAAGAGTAATTCCCTTTTCATCACTGTGAGGAACAAGTTTTGTTCCTTATGGGGTATGTGTCAAGAGCAGAGAGATCCACTCAAAATTGACAGGCGATCCCCACTAGTGAAAAACTTTACATTATTTTCCAAAATGTCATTATGAGGAACAAAAGTGTTCCTCATGATGAAGAATTGGGGCTCCCTCTATTAGCAACGTTCAATTTATAATTTATCAATTTCTTTTTTTATATGTATGTTCTAAACATTCACAAAGCAAGATTCCATCGACCTAGAAGCTGACTTAGAAGCATATGTCGATTTGGTCTACGAAAGGACAAGTGAAAAAAACTCAAGACTGGAGTAAAATGTCCATTGGAGATCGAATTAGATGTTTGTCATGAGACAGTGCAGATTGATGAGTTGTGATTTGTGAACTACCTTGTTGGAGAAAATGAAGCCAGTTTTGTTGAAATATTGTTAGACTGTATTTCATGGATCTGTAGTATTTCGTATTGTAATAACGTTGGCTTGTAATATTTACTTGTATGTTTCAAGTGGACCAATTTATGGCCTAAAAATCTAGTAAGTATTATGTTAATTAATATGTGAATATATATGTTTTAAAAAATTATGCCCAAATTAAAAAAAAAATATATTTAATTAGATTTGCATTAGCTTTAAGAGTTTCGGATTGGCTTGAATTGGATTAGATCCTATTTTAATTTGGATTACGATTTTAAAAAAATTATTTTAGTTTGGATTAGGTTTAGGGCCTGCTAATCCAAACCGAACACCAAACCTTCACCCCGGCTCTTGAGAAAAAAAAAATGTATTACCTAACATGCTCAGATGCTCTCTGTATTGCTTATTAGTTATTACCTGACACTTGAGAAGTGTAGCTCCAGATGAACTGGGTTGGTTTTATTTATCAAGAAATTAGCCCAGAACTATGGGGCGCAAGGGGGCATCCATGGAACCATTTCCCAGCAGGCACACCTAATGGTTCATTGGTTTGCAAGCTTGCAGTGTCGTTGCAGCGGCATTTGACAACCAAAGAAACCTAACCCCAAATTTCAAGGAAATCCAGCCATGGCAACGAAGAGGGTCGAAGATGGAACATAGAAAGAAGAGGGACGGGATGCAGGGAACAAAGAAGAGAAGAAAAAGGAGACGAGATCAGGGAACAAAGGAATGACAACACCATCACGGACCATTATGCATGAATCAATAAGGAATTATAAATCTTGGGCTGTGACAAGAAGTTAGCTTGATATGTTTCATTCATATTTATACAAGGAAAATGACATGTTTTAAGAGGTAGATCGGCAAAATATTCGCAGGTTGATAGTTTCAAAAACTTGAACAAGTCCTAGAACTATGAACAAGGAAAATGACACAAATTCAGAAAATTAATCAATTAAAGCATTTTTAAAAATTCCAATATCTTTAATACAAGTAGTATAATTTGTCAGTGAAATGATGACAGTATTGCTCAATGAGACTGTTTCAAAGTCTCAAAGATAAAATTACACACCAAACACTGTAAAATCGAAATTGTATGAATGGGGTTCACACCTCACATATAAACATACAAAATCAAGATACTACAATCTAACGACAAAGAATCCTTCAACGAAGCATATACAAATTAAATCAAATTTCAGCTATAGATACCCAAAACATATATGTCTTTCAGGAAAATCTCCTATCTACATTGTGCAGAACCTATAATATTGAGTTCTTTCTGACCTGATTTAGAGAACTTACTGGACACGAGCTGCTCTCCGGACCCTCCTCTGCTCGTAATCAGGGTCATCTGTAGGCAATTCGTACCGACATAAAGGACAAGTGTTTCGAATCCCAAGCCAAGGGAGGATGCAATCACCATGAAACCGATGTGAACAAGGCAACTGCTTTCCCTCCTCCCCAACCTCAATCTGATCCTTACAAACAGCACAAAGTGCTTTCTCATTCAGCACATCCTCTTTAGTAGTAATCACCGAGGGGAGTTTCTCAACAACAGACTTTGAAGCAGGGGGGCGACTCAAGTAAGTGTTCTCACTCTCTGGAAACTGCCCGAACATCATCTCATACTCGGCAGCATGAAAAATATTATCATGATCATCAAAGTAAGCATCATTATCATTTTCAATCATCTCAGAATTCCTCCCAATATGGTTAGCATTGAGCAACACCTCCCATTCCGAATTCCTCAACCCTCTCCCTCTTTCTCTTTCTCCAACCCCGTCTTCCTCAGGCCCCGAATAGGCCCAAACCGATATAGACCCGGACCCTTCTCCTTCAGCATCAGCAGCAACACTCAAGATTTCCCTCTCATCAACTCTATCATCCACCTCTTCCCACTCGAAATCGACAGCAACCCCACCTTGATCAACCTCCTCCAAATTGAGTGAGTCCCAACATAGTGGTATACTTTCATCATCATTCACATCATCAACCTCATAATCTTCTTCCTCTGAATGCACATGAATCCTCCACACTCCATTCCCCTCCTCTTCGGAATCGGAATCGACACCAACCATCATTAATCCACCAATTCTCGCCAAACCACTCGGAATCTCATCTTCATCATCATTATCATTACCATTCTCATTCTCACAATCATTCCAATTCACAGTACTAGTACCAGTCTCTCTCCTAGCAATATAAAACTCATCCCCACATTCAGAAACAACAAACCCACCACAATTACAATCATCACCATCACCATCTTCTAACCCTAACCCTAACCCTAACCCTAATCGCAATTCCAAATCCAAAGCATCAACACCCACATCATAATTCTCCTCAATAACCCCAAAATTCAAATCATTTACAACATCAGAAACAAAATCATCACACCCCACAATATGAGATTGCTCAACTTGTTCATGTAACAAATCAATTACAAAATTTACCTGATTTTTCCTATCTTCCATAATACCCTCAACAACACCCGATTGTCCGACACTCCGATTGGAAGAACTGGGTGCGAAGAAATCGTCGCTTTCATGGCTGCCGCCGAGTCGGCGAGGAGAGAAGGAATAGGGGAAGGAATCGAGGGTGGAGAATTCTTCAAAGAAAACGTCGTGTTCAACGAACAAATCGTGGTCATCTTCAGGGAAATGGAGGAAAGAAACTTCCGCCATTGAAGAAGGAATTGAGATCTCTGAAAGAGGGACAAGGATACAGGAAGAGAGTAATTCTGTAATTGTGTAAGAGAGTTACGAAAAATGGAAAAAGGAAGAGTTTTGAAGGAGGGTGTTTGGCAGGTTCCCCGGATCTTTCTTGCTTTGGAGTATGCCAGCATTTTGACTTTTAATTCTAGCCTCCCTTTTTTATTTATTTATTTATTTTTAATTTTTGAAAAAAAATTATATTTTGCTTCATTTCAAATTAAAGATATGGAAAATACTTGGTTGCTTTAAAAAATACATGGATCATAATTTAATGTATTTTTAAGGATTTGTGTGGTTAAAATTTTACATTTTTTTTTTAAATCTTTTAATATCTCATAGATATTAAGTTCCTGTTCAGTTTTTTTTTTTTTTTTTTTTTAAACTGAAATTATTTTTATTAAACAAATATTATATTTGCTTAATCGAAATTAAATTTTACTGAACTGATATTAATTTTGTTCCAGTAAAAAATTAAAAAATTTACAAATTTTTTACTGAACTGAAATTATTTTTTCAAAACTGGAATTACATTTATAACTTATTTTTACTGAACTAAAATTATGTTACTTTCAAAAATGAAGTAAACTGAGCATTAAACTTTATTAAATTAAAATAATAAAAAGAATTAACGGCTATTTCACCAAATGCCACTGAGTACTTAAAAAATTCACCAAATGCCATAAGGTTTTCAAAATTCACCAAATGTCATCGAGCTTTTAAAAAAATCATCAAATGCCATTAATGACTAGCGGTCGTTAACTCTATTAGTCATTAAGATTAAATTATGACATGTGTCATAATATGATTGGTTCATTTTAATCATTTATTTTAATTTATAAAAATATTATTTTTTTCTCGATTTTTGTGATGAAAATTTTTCGGATAAAGTTTTGAGGGTCATTTTGACCCTCTATGGATACAAATTAAGCTCGGAATTGGCAAAAAAATAGCGTAAATACCCCGTTTTGTGTGTTAAAAAAATATCTCGATTAGCGTATTATTATTTTTAACCATGAATATTGATCGGGTAAGTTTTTGGGGGTTATTTTGATCCTTCATGGGTACAAATTAAGCTCGAAATTGGCCAAAAAAATAAGTAAATGCTCCATTTTGTGTGTCTAAAAAATTTCGATTAGCCTGTCGTTATTTTTTAACCACGAAAATTGATTGGGGGTAAGGTTTAGGGGGTCATTTAGACTCTTTATGGGTTCAAATAAGCTCGGAATTGACAAAAAAAAAAAAAAACAAAAAAAAAAAACATATATGCCCCGTTTTGTATGTTGAGATCGTATTTTTTTTGCCGGAAAAAATTGCAAAACGGGGTATATACTTTTTTTTTTGTCAATTCCAAGCTTAATTTGAACTCATAAAGGATCAAAATGACCCCCAAACCTTACCCAATCAATTTTCATGGTTAAAAAATAAAAAAAGACACGCTAATCGAGATATTTTTCGGCACACAAAACAGAGCATTTACATTATTATTTTGCCAATTCCGAGCTTAATTTGTATTTATAAAGAATCAAAATGCCCCCCAAAACTTTACCGAGCAATTTTCATCACAAAAATCGAGAAAAAAATATTCTTATTATTCATTAAAATAAATGATTATTGTGTATTAATTTTAAAAAGTAATAGCATTTGGTGAAATAATTTTCCAAAGTAATGGCATTTGATGAAATAAGAATTGCATTAACGGAGAACTAACGTCCATATGCAACTAATGGCACGAGGTGTCATTGTACTGTTTGTCAGTGGCATTTGGTGAATTTTGAAAACCTTGATGGCATTTGGTGAATTTATTAAGTACTCAGTGGCATTTGGTGAAATAGCCGAAGAATTAAAATTGCGGTACAACAAAATTCTTGAGATTGCTCTCTTCACTAATTAAATTTCAACTTGTTTTAGGAAAAATGACTTTATTAATGGGTTAATAGGTTTAGATACGTTCCTGTTCAAAGGAAAAAAAGAAAGAAAAAAAAAAGGTTGATGAAAAATAACAGAGAATCAATCTAATTTTAAATTAAAATAAAATCAAATTTGTGTCTTTTTTTAGGAAAAATTAAACAATTTTATAGTGACAGGAAATAAGTTTATATTACTCCATAAATAAATAAGTAAATATCAAGTGAATAGAAAGTAATCAAAGCATCCTAAAAAAAAAAAAAAAAAAAAAAAATCAAAAGCATCCTAAATATTTCAACAACAATATTTTAGACTAATTAAGCCTTCATATCCTCAATTATGTCTTCCTACATTGCAAGTTGAATATCCATTTATAAAAGAAAAATTTATAAAAGAAAACCTTCAAATCCTCAATTATGTCTTCCTAGTTCCTACATTGCAAGTTGAATATCCATTTATGTCCTACTATTCTCTATTGGTTCAAAACTTGTAATGATATGCTATGCTTACTTTGATCATCCAAAAGGAGATCTTTAGGGTGGCCTTCTAAAGACTAGCCTCTACTTTATTTATACCCATAAACAAGTTCAAAAGTGTGTGAAGTGGGGCTCATGAATTGGCCACTAATATGCTTGAGCCTTGAAGGTACATGTAGGTCTAAATCAATTAAGGTTGGGTTGTCAAATTTTTTCAGACAAGTACCTTGACAAATTATTGAGCCTTATGATGATTGATAAAAATCATTAAACAGGCATAACTCAACTAATTTCAGCTGTTCCATCGCTCTCACGAGGTAGACTCTGCAACTGAGTTACTGAGATCAAAGTTAAATTTGCAATATCATATTCTATTAAACTCGAAAAAAGATCACAAATCAAGCAATATGAGGAGTTGAATTTATGTACATTATACAATATCCCTAATCAAAAGTTCAGAGCAGCTATGTCCTAGCTGACTGTCTTCATCTTCTTGATCGAATCAAGCAGTGAGGATTTCTCTTGAATGCTTGATGACTTTGCAAATGGATTTTTCGGTCGTACATCAGAATCATTTCCTGATTTAGCAAATGGATTAGAGGCACCAGAAGATCTTGCTTTCTTTGTTGCTTCTTCAGCATTTTCTTGCTTTCCTAAACTATCAACATCTTTAGTAATGTTTGTAGCTTTCTGTACAGTAGTTAGACCACCTGACTTCTGCTCCATTATGAAACTGCTTCCTTCCTGGATCTTTGCTTTCTTAGGGAATACAGGAGTTGTAAATTTAGGTGTGGGTGAGGGAGTGATGGGCTCTGATGGCTCGTTTAAGCTTGAATGCAAGCTACTACTCAAGGTGTTATTTCTGCTAAAGAACTTTTCAGTTAAACTGTTTGGAGTAATGCTTTTCTTATCAATAATGTCTGTTCTAGTAGAGGCTTCAGCATGCGAGTTAGGATGAGGTAGTGGCACATTCTTGGTTGTATCATTCAGCAATCGCTCCTGAGACGAGCAAGACAGTTCAAACTTATGTTGGTGATATAGACTATATCCGAGAAGAAAAAATCTTCGTTTCCAAAAAAACATTACAAAAAAAAACTTAGAGATGAGTGTAAATAGTCGCTGCATACCTCCAAGATGCCGTTGAACCTTTCTGCTAAGCTCGGAAGCTTTAAAGTGGTAACCAGCTTTATGGCTCCCCTAACTGATTTTTCCATTGACAGGAGCTTCACAAGTTCAGTAGCACGTACTAGCTTATCACCTGGAATTGAGAACAGTGACAATTAAATAATAATAATAATAATTAAATAAAGATAAAAAGATGCATACATTCAAAGGAGAGAATTTCAACTAGCATCAACTTCAGACATCATACCATTGCAACAAGATGCAATAAGCCTCAAAATACACCTATCAAGTGCTGCTTCCATATCAAAAGCTTCATCATCAAGTAGTGAGCAATCCATACCAGCAGCTTCAGTTTCTTCAATTGATTTTTGAATCTGAAACAAGCAAAAAAAAAAAAAAAAAAAACTTAGAAGTGCCTACAACTGCGGTTAAACAAATAAAAAGCTATCTCACGTAACACTAGCAAGGAATTACTTTGGATGACCAATGAAGGGGGAAATGGGCAAACCTGTGATAGTCGTGTGTTCCTGAAGATAAATTCCTTTTCAAGAGCCTCTGCTCCGAGATCAGAGGATGCAAGAGGATATGAAAGATCAAGAAGCGAGAGAACTGGTTTGGATGATACCTAAAAAATGATACAAATTACCATAAACTATAGAAAGAGGAACTAAGAGTGTCTTGAGTTGTAAGGGATAATTCAGCTTTACCTTAGGATATAAATCAGGAGACTTGCATATAATGCAAAACAACTTCTCAGCACTCAAACCAACCACCCATTGATTTTCATCTGGCTTCTTAACTTTGCTGGCACTGCCAAATCAGATTACCATTGTTAAAATTTAGGTTATGATGGACAGCAAGAACAAATAATCAAACAAAAGTCTAAAAGATATCAACCTGAATAGAGGAAGCCAATTCCCACCAAATTGATCTGAGTACACTCTCAGCATGCCCTAGACATTTATATATCATGAAATTTAGTAAACCATCACCAAAGAATTAGCACTAGAAAACCCTAGCTTTAGAGGACATACCTTCGAATCATAAGAAGCTAGGTGGCCTTCCTCACTAAATCCAATCCATGATAGGCTTGAACCAGGTGACAAAGGCAGGTGTCCTTTAAGGGGTTGGGTTCTATTGCTAATGTTAAATACTCTGAACTCTAACATCTGAAAAAGCACAGATTTTAGGAATCAGACATTGATTAATGCAGCAAGATGTCATCATACACATATGAGTTAATATATCTTGAATAAGCTGTTAGAGGAAGTACCAAATCAGCATTATAAATGATAGGTGCCATTTGGTACAGCTGTGATGCTAAGTAATAAAGCTTGGAGCATAAATAATTTACCTGATGATTCGAAGGAAGAGGTTGAGAGGAATGAGTGACAACGGCAAGTTTGTCCTTAAAGCCTGCTGCTGTCACAACTGGACCATCAAGGGAGAGAATGTGCCTCTGCAAGAATCATCAAAGCAATAAGTAAACACATAGCATTATATTTATGCTAGAACTCTAAATCAAGGTAGAACAGCTAATTCAGTTGCATATATGGAGTATATCTTTTCAGCAGCTTTTAATTTAAGCATACACTGACTTACAAAGAGTGGCACACATGTTATGTGGCTTTGAGTATTACATTTAATTTATTTGATGTTGTCTCTTCAAACATCCCTTACGCCGTGATGTTTTATGTTATTCCTGATCTATATAACCAAGTGAATTATGAAAAGATTGTTATATGATAAGTTATATAGACCAACCTGCAAGCCACCCTCTGTAAAGATGCGAAGAAAATTAGCACTAGTTGCAGCAGCCACCCACCCAGTACCAAGTGCCACAGCATTCACCTCTTCATCTTCAAATCGCATGGACCACTAATCATCAAGTACATAGATGAGCATTCAATAAAAGTTCAGAATAATCATTACAAAAAATGTTAGCATATTCAGATATTCTGAAGACTCAGTTACAAATCATGGCAATCAAAGCGAAAAAAGACTATATATGTTCATTGTTGAAGAGCTAATGGGCTAACCTCACTATTATTTGCCCAACTGCTAAATGGACGATACATAAGAGTGCTCATATTCTTGTCTCCCTTCCTTGGGTTTGCAAGAACACTTCCATTCTCATTTAGAGAAGCCATGGTAAATCCAAAATAATCAGTCATTGCTGGAACTCTTGGACCTTGACTTGTGTCATGAAAATCGATCTGCAAAGAAAGGTACAAGTTTGTGAGTCATACAGCAACAAAGACACCAGAGAAGTAAAAACAAAACATAGTTGATTGTTTAACCTCTATATGTGAGTATCCATCATGTTGCATAGTAGTTATGCTTCCAAGCATATTGTAACAGAGAAAGCTTTTGGTTCCTGGCTGCACAGGAGTTGCACCAGGCTGAAATGGCTCTTGTATTTTTGAACCATTTTGAGAAATCATGGATTTTGGCCTCCTATCACCATCCAAACGTTCCTCGCGAGCCTTAGCAGGCCTTTTATTTGACTCAAATCTTGAAGATGTATGTAATTCCTCATCAATCTCTTCTTCCAAAGTTTCTTCCATCATAGAAGATTTTCGCAATCTTTTCCTGGTCTGAGGCACTGATTCCCCAAAGTCGTCTTCACCCAAATCACTTAGACTGGCAGATGTGCTTTGCTCTTTCTCATCCTCATCAAAAAAGAGGATTCCATTGTTGTTCTTCGACTGTAAGTTGGGAACATCTTCTGTTGGAGATTTCATTGATGAAGGAATTACTGACTCCCAAACACCATATTTTCCCATGACATCAATAACAGCTAATGAATTGCCAGTTGGTTTCCATGCCATATGGCAAATCCTCTCATCAAACTTTTGTCTGTCAATGTCTTGTTTCTTTGCAAAATCCCATATCAGCACCTGGTTATCTAAACCAGATGTAGCCAGATATTTTCCATTAGGTGACCAAGACAAGAAACAAATAGGTTTCACATGATCACCTCTCAACGAAGATACCTTTTCAGCTGTATCTCTATCAAACATTACCACATCATTCTTTAGCCCTGGAACAGCTAACAGTTCGCCATCAGGACTCCAGCTAAGTCCATTCGTAATGGACATGTCTGAACCTGTATCAGGAGCTACTCCTTTCAGAGTATGTAGCATATTTCCTGATAGAAGTTCCCAAAATACTACCGTCCCCTTTGTATCAAGAGAAGCAAGGTATTCATTATTAGGATCAAAAGCCAAGCTGATGACAGGTCCTTTATGCCCTTTAAGAACTCTTGCAATTGTAGCATCAACTGTATTGATGAGTTTGATTCCTTCATCATCACCAGCAGCTGCCAGCAAGCTTCCTGATTTGTTAAAAGCAAGGGTGCGAATAGGCAACGTGAATCTGGTAATATTGTTCTGAAACTCCCCACCTGACATTAGAATAAAACTCAGATTAGGCAAGTAATTAAATATTTAATTTCCATACAAATGGCTCACATTCTGAATTAAGAAGCTTGATGCTTTACATACAGCTTAAATAATTCAATAATAGTAGTTCTCGAGCTATTTAAGAGTTAAAAGCCCTGACAAATTAAGCAAACTTGGAAGCAACACCTGTTACAATCAGACCACATTACATCTTTATGATCAATTACTCGAGACCCCTATATTGAATATCATAAGGCTTCAGTTTTAGTTTTTAATCATGTCCTCTTCCACACGAACATTCAAACTAATCATTTTCACCTTTTCAAACCACTATAGTCTTAGTATTGTCACGAATTTCAGTTTATTATATACCATGGCAATGTGTTACTTGCATTCTTACACCTATGGATGAACATACAGTGAGACAAAAAGCTTCTTGGTTTTACTTTGAACTTAATGCAAGTATGCAAAAACTTGTAACCTCAATCGAATGCAGTCATGTCCAACTAGTTGAACATCATTGCATTATAGACCCTTCAAAGTCCATCACTTATTATCATAAACAGAAAATAACTAATCTTCTGCACATGTCCTGCTCCATTAAGCAACAGCAAACTTTACCAATATAAATCAGATCTTAGTCAATGTCAATTCGATATATTCACAATACATCATCACAAACAGCTGCAATGTAAGAATTGCAACATGCACTCTAACAGATGAATCTGAAATAGCTCACAAATTTGGGAATAGTGTTTGAAACACAAATTACCAACTTATACCATTATCAAATTTTAATCATAAACATCAGATTTATGTTACATATATACTCAACATAGATAATAATCTTCCTAATTTTATCTACTAATAAAAAAATCAACCCAAAACCGAGCTTACAACAAATTGCAAATCAGCATACACATAAACAATGTTAAGTACCAAAAAAAAAAAAAAAAAAAAAAAAAAAAAAAAAAAAAAAAAACCAGATAAATTGAGCCCAGAATAAAGTAAATAAAACACACCCAGATGCAAAAACATACTGAAATGAAGAGTTGAAGAATAGAAAGGTAAAGAGGAGAGAGAAAACAAACTTGGGAATTTGTACAATTTGACGGTGCGATCGATAGATCCAGAGGCAAGGCAGGTGGAGTTAGGGCTAAGAGCTAAAGCGGTGACGCCGTCTCGATGGTGACGGAGATTCTTCATCGGGTTCGAAAGGAGGAGAGATTCATAGATAGAAATGGATGAATCTGATGAGGAAGAAGTAACAATGTGGGTAGAATACATGTCCCACAAAACTGAGCAAAATGAAGGTTTGCCATTGTTATTGGTATTTTTGTGGGATTCTCTAAGCTTAACTGGTTTCACCTTCATCTTGGATTTTCTCTCTCTCTAAAACTCTCTGAATCTGGTTTTCTGAAGTGGGGATTGATTGAATTGGGGAGTGATATGGTTAGGGTTTATGGGGTTGATTTTGGGGGATAAAAGGTTGAATTTTGGGGGTGATTTTCGCGGGAATTTTTGGGAGTTTTGGAATTGGTTTCCCGGGTTTTTTTCTTTTTTAAAAAAAAAAAAATTTGGAATTAGGAGAACATTTTTTTTCTATAACGGTGAAGTGCCAAAGCCCAAAAAGTACTGGACTGTAAGAGCACATATGTTCAATATTGTTGTTTTTTTTGTCTCCGTTCATTTTCGCTGGATTTGTGATAAATTTAGTGTTGATAAATTATTATCTTGTCTCGTTTGTATTTGGGTGGATTTGTTATACTTCCTCTGCCCACTATTATGTGCAACAAAAGGAGGAGTGTGCGAAATTCAATGCAAAATTTCTTAAACATGATTATTAAAAAGTAAGAGAGTGGATAATAATCCAATATAAAAAAAGTATCACAATTAAACAGAGGAGAAGCACCACCACTCGCGAACGCAGAACCACCACCCACAAGGCCACAGGCCCCTACCACGCCACCCAACGAACCCACGCCACCTCACGAACCACCAACACCACGCCCACGTACGCTACCCTCACAAAACCACCACCGAAACACACTACCCCACGAACCCAGACCCCAAAACCCACCACCCCACGAACCCAAACCACCGAAACCCACAAACCAACAAATCTAGACCACGAAACCCACAAACCCATATCTAGAATTGAATCACTAAAGGGTAGTCTTTTTCTTTAATTCGTGAGAATATGTTGAACAAGGAGAGAGAAAGATAATAGGAAGATAAATAAGATGATGATGGAGGAGGAGAAAGTACGTAATTGAGGAGATGTAGATGATGAGTGGAAAATTTTGAGGATTTTTTTTAAAATTATATGAGATTAATTATTATGTATGATTAGTTTTTAATTAATTTTATTTAAGTATGTAATTGAGGTTATTACTTTTTATGTAAGGGTATTTTCGTCATTCTGCTGGAATAAAGTTACTAAATATGGAAGAAAAACATTTGTTGTACAAAATAGGAAGCATCCATTTATAGTATATATTACACATAATAGTGGGTGGAGGAAGTAAATTTTATGGTTTGATTGAGTTTATATCATAGGCATATTGTTAAAAGTTCAAATTTCTTATATGCAATATTTAGCCTATAAAGAAAAGGATAAATTGATAAAAATAATCCCAACTTTTGTATGTTCGCTCAAAATAATCCCAACTATACAATCTAGTGACTATATGACTAAAGACTTATTTATAAATGCCTTTTAATAAACATCAAAATATTAATCAAACAACAAACTAAAATCTACAGTAAAACTATTGACACAACATTCATATATGTAAATATATAAATTACAAATTAAATAATATATCATCTTTATATCCAATAAAATAATTTCAATGGAAATAAATACTACTTAGATCATTAAAGGCAATAAAAATCAATAATTAGGCAACACTAACCTATATTATTAGTAGTACATTTTCTGTTTATGGATTGATGCTCTACATGATATCGTCGCTCTTTGTTATTATATAAAAATGTGTTTGAAAGCTAACCAATAATTCTAGTTTGATCATTGTTTGTTTATTACCTTAAAATTTTATTTGTCGATGATAGCTATTTATCCAAAAAAAAAAAAAAAAAAAAAAAAAAAAAAAAAAAACATACACACACACAAAAGAATATGTCACTTGTCACTATGTCCGACGTATTTTTTAAAATGCAACTTATTTATGAATGTCAAATGTGATAAAATTATTATCTCAATAAAGTGTTTCAGCAAAAGATAATAACTTTTTTGTATTTACTAAGATATTAACTTGTAATAACAAAAAATTGATTGATATTTTACATTTTCGAATTAGACATATAATATAGTTGTTGAACACAACATTTATTTTATGGTCATATCTAATACTCCATTAGTCTAATAAACAAAACAAAAAGGAATTTGAAAAAAAAAATAATAATAAATTAAAGTGATGTTCTAAAGTAATTTTTTTTAATATCAATTACTTCGATATGAGTCAATTTTATTATTATTTTTTCGGTAAAACTCAATAATTCTTGTTTAAAAGATAATTAAAAAAGAGTTGGAAACCTATTTTAGGTAAATGTGCATGGAAAATTTTAAACCACAATAAAAAGGAATACATTTTATATAGAGATAATACATAAGTTTGGAATAATATTATCGTAGTTTTATTATTAAAATTTTCCAAAAATAATTTTTTTTTGCTAAAAGGAGAGGGGGAGTTTTGGAAGGAAAAAACAGCATCAGGATGTGACACATGTCATTCCCGGTGTCTGTTTAAGTATTAAGTTATTGATTAACCATTATTGAAACATCATAAAATCATCACACACACCCAAAACAATAATTAATCAAAGCTAATTAAATTTTGAAATAAGTATTTTTGTTTTTTTTTTGTTCGAACCACACGCACAAGGAGGGGGAAGGGAGGACGACTGTCGTCGCCTCCCCACGGCTGCTGCTACCGGCAAGTGTTGGTGGTGGCAGCTGGCCACCTTGCGGTGGTTGTGTGTGTGTTGTGAATTGTGAGCAAGGGAGATAAAATAAGAGGAGAGAGAAAGTTTACCTGTCGTATTCTCCACCTTGGATAAAGTCTAAATTTGCTCATAGATGGGTATTTATACTCCCTTTTAAAACTGTCCTAACTTAACTTTTCCTTTTTGCCCTTAATGAGTCCCACGTTTATTCAAAATAGTCATTTGACTTTATTTAAAATTATTTTATAATTCAAATATGGCCCAAAGTTTCTATATAATAACATAAAATATTTTCAAAACCATATAAATAAATCATTATTGTATTTTCAATTAAAATACACATTTTTAAATATTAAAATGCTATAAATAATTCATTTTAAATTATTTAAATACGTCATAAAATAATAATTTAAATTGAGATACGTATAAAAACACAGGGTATTACAGAGAACCTCAATTGAAGAGGCATCTTCAATACAACAGCTATCAAATGACTTGGATGAAACACTAGTTGTTTACATTTATTTGACTTTATGATTTGCACGCTATTGCAATACCCATTAGTAGTGAGAGTAAATAATTAGCAATGGCCAAGCTTAAAATATTCACTCAAATTCACAAGAGATTAAGTTACAAAATTCATTTCCTTTTTCCTTTTATAAGCATAATCCCTTCAAAATTGGAGAGATTCGGAGAGAAAATAGAGCTCACGTCCCCTTTCCTTTCTTTTCCCTTCCCTCCTTATATGCTATCCAAACAAAGCATAACACATTGTTTGGATGGGAGGAAATGAAGAGAAAGGGAGGGGACAAATCACCTTGTTTGGATAGTGGATCGAGGGAAAGAAGGGGATAGAAAGAGATGGATTCATTTTCCCTCTTTTAATAAACACAATCCCTCCAAAATTGAAGAGATTTGAAGGGAAGATGAAGCTCCAATTTCCCCCTCCCTTTCTTTCCCCTTCTCTTCCTCCTATTTCCTTCCCCTTTTAAATTGTTTTCCAAAAATGCTATAAAGTGTAGAATAAATGACATGATAGAGGTATATGAGCAAGATTAATCGAAAGCCACTTCTCTGAGAAGTAGTTTGTAGCAGTATCATTTCCTTTTCTTCTGCCTCTAAATCTTGAAAAGAAGGGAATAATGGAGTTTGTTGAAGAATGGAGTTTCCTTGGCTGGAATCAGAAGACTTTTACATAATGATTTTTTTTTCGATTATTGTGGAATGTGTTGTGTTTTTCTGGCTTGGTGATATGTTGATAAATGGTCTTTCTGATATCTTATTGAAATCACTCACCTGTCTATCTTTCAGTGTAAGCATAATTAAAGATGGTGCAAAGCCTTAAAAATTCCTTATTCATTGGGTGAATGATGATAATATCTTATATTTTTAAGATTTCAAAATGTTTGAGACAGTCTACAGAAGAGTAAAAAGTCCAGCTTGGTTACCAAATTGAAGGATTTGAAAGTGAAGCATTAAAGCACAAGGAATTGGATGACAAGATGTAAAACGATATTTTCATAAAGAATTCAGAAAGGCCGGATGAGTATGAAATCAACAGAGCTGGACAGCTAGGAAATCTCTTCTGCAGATTGAGAAAGAAGCAGTCACAAAATAGTCTAAGGTTAAAAATACTGAATTGAATACATTATCATTATATACAATGAAGCCGAGCTTGCCCCGGTTATTCTTAGTGTTTGTTTATCACATAGTATTTTCGTAAATAAATCAATAACTTTATCCAATCACCATTTATTATGAAGCCCCCATTAATACAAAAGATTGATTTATTAACGAAAATGCCATGAAATAAATAATTTTTGTTTGTGTTTTTCGGTGAGAGTAACTTGTATTTTCTCCAATGAAGCCAATCTAACCAATGTCCTACCCAGAAGTAGTGTGTATATTGGAACACGGAAAGACAGATACAACACAAACCTAGATTAAGAATTGATTGATATTTCTCGGCTTCCCCAACTCTGGCAATCTGGCATTGATTCACCTTTTTATTAACTTCCAACTCTTCTTAATGCAATTTACCCAATAGATCATAATGAACGATTTTACTCAATTACTCCCTCTATTCCTTTATTTTTGCCCCATTGTCATTTGTTGGGTTAAATTTTATAAACTTTGACCGTAAACTATCATTAAAAATAATATAGTCATGAGTGATCTTGTTAGATTCGGCTAATTGCATATTTTATTATATCATATTTTTATAATTTTTACGTGTATGGAAATGAAAATATATACGTTTTAAGAAGCGTCTTGGAGACCGTGAAAAGTCAAATTAGGCAAAAAAAAAATAAGGACAGCCACAAAGAAGGAGTATCAAATTTAATTCTTCTTGGTTAACAATATAAATAGCAGGGTTCTAGCATCGTTATAATAGTAATAATCAATCCAACTTAAAAGAACCCTAAATTCACTCTACTGGCAATTAAATTAACGATAACAATTAAAAACATATTATTCTCAGTAGCTGTTTCCCAATAAACTAATGGCGCATCAGGAATTTGGGTATGGGGTACGGAACTACGTTTGTCAAAGAATAATTTACTATAAAACACAAAATTTGACATACTAATTTGAATTGTAGTATTATTTATAGTAGTTAAATAGGCGCGCAATCCCCTAATTTGCCGGAGTAAACTGATCGAATTTGTCTAAAAGGATGTTTTTAGCAATTACTCCATTAAGCGTCTTTAGTTTCCCTTTTCGCCAAACTCATTCAAGTATAGAACAAAAGTAAAGGTTAGACAAGAACAGGGGTGGTTTTGGGGTGGCCAGGTGGTTTTGGTCTGGCAGGCCAGGGCGAGGAAGGGGGTGGCCGTAGTGGTCATTCAGGGGACAGGGCTGGTGTTGGGGATTTTATTTATTTATTTATTTTTTCATTTTTTTAAAAACTTATTTTATTTTTTAGACCAATCTAAGCTTGACAGATGTTAAGTAATTTGTTATAATAGGTCGTTGATTTTTGTTGATCGGTCATTGCCCGTTAAAAGAAAACACTCCAAAAGTTGGTATTATTAAAAAATAATCAAAAGCTAGAATTATTTATAGTAGTAAATGGTCCAGAGTTTTTTTTTTTTTTTTTTTTTTCTTTAAACGCTTTCATTTGCCTACTCAATATTCTCCTTTTGTTTTTTGTGTGAACCTTTTGGACATTAAAATGCGAAAAGATAGTACAAATGTCTCATAAAAGAACTGTCAATTTCTGATCGGAATTGTTAAATCCGACTGTTTCGAACCGATTCGAAAAGCAACTGGACCGTTAAAAACCCATTTTTTGAAAACCAAAAACCGACCCAACCCAATTTGTTCCAACCCAAAACTAAACTGAATCGAATTTGTGCAAACCGTTAATGACTTGACTAGTTATCAAGTCAAACCATATAGCAGAAAACCGAAAGCAACCCGAATCAATATGTCCAAACCCGATAGTAACCCAACCCATTTTAAACCGAAAACTGTTTAAACCCGGAAAAAATCCGATTAACCTGAACTGTTCCAACCCGTAACTTGTTGTGATCGAACCGTTTATAACCTGTAGCCCGTTAGGATCGAACCGTTTACAACCCATAACCCGTTGAGACCGAACTATATTTACAAACCGTAATTCATTATGACTG